GCTTCTCTTGGCTTGCAAATGTTTGTCCCTGAGGAGTTTTTATTTAATGCCTTCCTTAGTTACCAAGGGATGAGAAGTTTCTCCCATCGTTCTGAGGCTTTCCAAACACAGATGGGATTTATTGAAGTTCCTGCTGCTCTGGCCTCATTAACGTTTTATGGCACAGCTCCAGAGATGTGCCTGCTCCTTGCTGGGTGCCCCTCTACAGCCCCACAGTGGCTCAAGTCTCCTGGCTGCACTGAACATCCTTGGGGAGTTTTAAGTGATTTCATTCCCAAAACAGCTCTGCTACTTCCTTTTGAGACCTCACCTGCACCCTGTGGGACCACAGCTCCCAGGAGCTCCTCTCATAACAGACACAGTGGGTGGGAAAGCAGAGACAGCATGAGCAGAAGATGGGGGAAAAATATGAGAAAATTAGAGAATAATGCAGGAACACATTCAGGCTATGCCACAGACAATATAACCTGTCCAGGGACAGGCAGGATTTTAACTGGCATGAAGGAGGTAGACGCAGAAGAGGGGGTGCAAACCCAGGGTTTGGTGAGGAAATGCAGCTGCTGGCCCTGTGGAGAAATTGCTGGTAACCTCCTGCACATGCCTGCAGGGAGGAAGGTGGGAATTGCTAGTCCTGAGGCCTTCTGGAAGAGCTTTTCACCCCTGCAGAGAACAGGAGGGAGCATCAGCACAGCCCAGCTGGAGTCTGCAAATTGCCCCACTTAGGCTCTGGTCCTCAAAATTACTCTTACCTAAAGTACATCCACAGACCTGACAAGCATCACATTTTTCTTTGGAGGCCACACTCCTGCACAGCCTCCAGAGTTTGTGCTTCATTCCCAAACACTACAGGTTTTGTCCCAGAGAAACATGCCTGGTGCTCACCAGGTCACCTTGCTATGATCAAGGCCTTGGGATGTGCCTCTCCATGATCCAAGCACTGCATGGAGCCAGGGTTCCCCCACCACATATTTATTCAGAGGTGCTGCACAGCAAGGACAGCCCAGCACCAAATTTTGGAAGAGGCAGACCTTGCTGGAGTTCAGCAGAAACAGGAAATTAAGACACTGAACAAAAAACTGAACAAAATCAATGCATCCCCACCCAATTTTTATCCAAATCAGGAATTTCATGCACAGGAGAGATTTTGATCAGCGTCCCACATTAGTTATTGAGCAGAGAGAGCACAGAGTGCTTGGCACTGTGCAGAATTCCGGTCTTTGCACTGAAGCTCTTGGAAACCGAGAGTAATTCAGATGCAGAAGCAATCTCAGCTGCTGGGAAGGAACTCAAACAGCCAAGGACAGAGAGAGTCTGTGCAGGGATGTAGGGAAAGAAAGAAGAGCTGCTGGCTGGGTGCAGGGAGGGGACAATGACCACATGGAGGAAAGGATGAGGAGGAGGTAAAGGAAGGAGGTCAGGGAAAATCCAAGGGTAGCCAGGGCCACTCTTGCTGAAATGTACCCAACAGAGGGGGCTTGTTTAGGGCTGCAGGACCCACAGACTCCCTGCAAGAACCTTCCAGCATTGCCTGGTGTGAGCCACACACTGGGACTGAAAACACCAGGGAGATGTTCGGGGGGTTGAGCAGAGTAAGGAGAGAGGCACAAGGACTGCAAGACCCACCCGGCCCATTCCAGCCGGGGAAACACGAAATGCCACGCTCAGAGCTTTCCCCAACACCCAGCTCAGGCTGCTCACTCAAATCTCCTGCTCGTCTGGCTTGGAGTGCCACCTGCTGCCAACGGTGCCGTTCTCCAGTCCCTGCGAGGGGACAACAGCAGCGCAGAGCAACAAACTTCCTGCTCTTACATCGGCTTTCCCTGTCCTTTAACAGCAGCCAAACTCCTGATCCAAAAAGCAACGCTATTTCCCAAGCTGCAGGCGTCCCACGAGTTGCAGGCATAGCAGCAGATGCTAATAAAGTACTTTTCTCTTTGCCTTTCATGCAGCTTCTCGCTGGAGCCAGCCTCTCCCCCCAGAGACCACATCCTGAATCTTCTTGTTCGCTGATTCTTTATGCTAAATGATGACTCCGCAGTCGAAATAATGTGGCATATTCCAGCTCGCATTTCAGACACCGTGAGACTTTTTAATAACGAGTTGCATGAAAAATTAGAGAGGCTGCAACAAAGAGCTCCGACAGAGGTTTCCAAAGTGACTCACAGCCAGTAGAGCCTCCCTTTTCCAAAGCCCAGTGTGAGACAATCTCAAGAGCCCCCGCACTCAGAGACGAGTCCTTCCCCTCTGGAAAAATAAAGCCTTTTTAAGGAGAATTCTCCAGGGAGAGAATCTCTGCAGGGAGGTTTGGCAGGTGGATTTGGGAATTATGGCTGAGATGACATTCCATTTCCAGGAGTGCTCGCAGGGATGTTTCACCCCACACCTCAGCTGTGCTGCTGAGGGTGCTGCAGGGTGGGAGACACCTCGCCCTGCAGCCAGCCTGGGCTTCCTGCTTGGCACATTGGCTCTGGAATGTTCCAGAATGGGGCTAGCAATGACTCCTGCTGGTTTTGCAAGGAGGCAGCAAACCACAGCAGTAATAGGCAGTGGAGGTTTCTCCAGCCTTGGTTCCCAAAGCACTGTGGCACCCACAGCCACAGCAAACATCACCCATGCACAGGTATCCTGCTCCTCCTAGGGCTGGCTTGCTGCCAACCCTGCAGCTCTCTGCCAGGCTGTGCAGCAATATGGAGGAGGAATTTTTTCAGGCCAACTTTTCGCTGTCTGTTTTTGCTTCCTGCCATCCACAAGAACAGCTGCCAAGATATTTCAAGGGGAAGCAGCAGGCAACATATCCAGTGCAGCTACCCTGATGGGGATTAATGCCATTCATGCTCAGTCCCAGTAGTGAGCAGTGCCTGGCTGCTGGGTGGGACATGTGGTTTGATTGCTCTGCTCCCTTTCCCAAGCTCAGCTCGGAATTCTTTCTGTATCCTGAGCTGGTCCCACCTTCACCTCCTCTGTGACAGCCCTCACAGTCACCCCCAGCCCCAGGAGCTGCAGCACAGCCCCCTGCTCACCCACTCCTAAGGTTTAATTGAGCACAGTTCCCCCCACCCAGCCCAGCAGACTTCTCAAAAGAGGTTTTTCCTCCCAAAGGAAGCTGGGAAAGGAAGGCAGAGAGTAAAAGAGCAGCTGGCACAGAGGCAGTTCTTACCACATTCCAGAAGAAAGGGTTGAAGGCGATTGAGAGGACAGCCACAATGAAGCCAGTGTCGGTCACATCCACGTAGCCAAAGAGCTGCACCATGGCTGCCACATCCACCTGTGGAAGAAGGGATGGTTACTGCAGTGCAGGATCCCACAGGGGCACTTCACCTCAAACCAAACACACCAGCTGCCCCAAGGGTAGATGAACCTTTTATTAGCCCTAAGCAATGTTGTTGTTCCAGCTTGCAAAGTGCTGTGTCAAGGTGCAAAGCCCAGAAGAAGGAGGATGGGGGATCCTCCAAGCTGTCCCCCCAAACCTCAGGGACACTGGGCCCTCTGGGAGCTCCACACTCACAGCGTGCCCAGAAGGACACAGGCTCAGAGGTGACACTGCTGCTCTGAGGATCAGCACCAGTCCTCAGCTGCCAGCTCATGAGTTTTAGGAGAGGGAGCACCATTCCACAGCATCTCAGCATCCTGGGGACACAGGACTGTCCCCAGGGATGTGAGTCTGCATGGAATCCCCTATCAATGAACTGTGTCAGCTTCAAACTCATCTCCCATAAAGTCAGAGTGATGCAAACCCCCCCCCACCCCCAGCAATGGGGAATGCATTTGCACTGTAAGGAGCTGCAAAAGTATTTCCTCTCTTAATGACAACAGCAAAAACCCCTTAAAACTCGCTGCTCTCCTTTTTAAAAAGAGAGATTTTTCCCAAGACACCTCTCTGACATTGTCAGCGTTCTTACGTGCAGTAAGCCATGCTGCTTCTCCCTCCACACGCCCTCTCCCTGTGCTGGTATTTGGATGAAAAACAGCCAGTGTCTTTTTTTTTTTTTTTTTTTTTTTTTTTTTTCAAAACCTTTGAAAACAAAAAACAAAATAGCCCATCCCAATCCCAGCCCTCGCTTGAAACAAAACCAAGACGACAACATCTAGACGTGGAAGGTTTTGGTTTCCCCAACACAGCTGTGTTTTCAAGACCTTTGGATGCCAGAGGACAGGCACAGCTCGAAAAGGTATCTAGAGGGAAATTCCCACTGGCTCCTCAAAGGCTCTTGGGAAGAACGAGAGCCACAGTGTCATTCATGGAAAAGGGCTGGTAAACCCAGCACCTCTCCTAGCCCAGAGAAAAAGCTGTGGGAACAGCTCCTGTGCTAGCCCAAGGCACATCCAAGAGCCTCCTGCCCAACCACGAGTGCCCAAGGTGCAAAGTGCAGCAGCAAAGATGGCACAGCCCTGGGAAAAGGGGGGATGGATCTTCACAGCTGCCCTCAAACCACCACTGCCCCAGATCCTCCAGGCTCCTTCATCCAAGCCCTGGGGACGCAGGTGCTGGCAGGGAACAATGGGAACAGCCCCCGTGGCCTGATCCAGACCCATCTCCCCCTGTTCCCATCCTCCACAGCCTCTCCTCCCATCCCTTCACCCCGGAGCAGCCCTTCCCCACCAGACCTCATCCCTCCAAAGTGCCAAGCCACAACCCAAGCAGCTGCTGGCACCGGGGCCGAACTGTCTAATCCCGCTTCAATTGCAATCCCGTGGGACCAGGACAGCTTCTTTCCTCTCGTTTTGTACGCTGCTGAGCACAGTGCTAGCACGGGCTGAACAAAAGCTTCTTGACCTACTAACTCCTGGCAGGCACCATCGTTAACATTGCACTCACCTTCTTTTCTCCTGCTCAACAACCAAATTCGCGGCTGCCAGCGGGAGGCAGATTGGCCTGTGCCTGGCGTGTGCTTTTCGGGATAAAAGGGGAGCCCTAATGGGATGAGCTGTCTCTGCGAGCTGCTGGGACAGCCACGTAACAGGCACAGAACATTCAACTTTGCCCCCTCCTCCACGGTGGGGGATCAATGACCGCGGCGAGAGGTGCCCGCTTGATCAAAGCCCCGAAGGCAGGGAGGAGGGTGGGAACAGCACGGGCAGCCAGGTGAGAGCTGCATGGGCACCTG